CCCCTTGGCCCAGGAGGTGGCAGGAACCAGCCCCCACCTTGCTGCCCGCCCCAAACCAAAACCCTCCACGGAGCCTCCTCTGTCAGGTACCACCCCCTGGGTTGGGCCTGGCTTCCTGTGCCTCACGGACATCCAGGTGTGTGTGCCTCTCACATGACACAGGCTTTCTTAGGTTTCTTCCTGAGGGGCCATCTCATGAGGGCCTCCTCTCTTGTGGCTCAGGGAAGCCTAAAGGGGATGTGAGGGCAGATTCCAGCAAAGCAGAGGCTGCAGTGGCCGCCCAAATGACTGCCCACATGTGGCCACAGGGAGGTTGCCCCCCATCTGCCTCCCTCCATGTACTCTACCCTGGGCTTGGCCCTTGAGGTCCTTGCACCCCCAAGATAGCCCTCCTGCCCTCGCCAGGCCCCTCTCCGTGTCCCCTGCTATAGCCGAGGCCCACCTCCCCCTGTCTGCTCCTGGACCTTGCAATGTCCCCACAGGCCCCTGGGGGCTCACTGTCCTCCCTGTGCCCATGTGCCTGCATCTGCGACACTACTGCCCGTGGGGCCTCAGCCCAGGCATGGCCAGTGACTCCAAGTGCCACATGGGCCTGCATCCTGCCTGCCATTGCCCAGCTGGGTGACTTCGGGCCAGTCATTTCCTCTCTTCTGGTTGCCTTATTTGAAACGGGAATGAAAGTTCTCGCCCTCTGGCTGCCCAGAAAGACCACAGCGCAGTGCCTAGTCCATCAGAAGCGCTGTTTAGGGTCAGCTCCTGTGATTCCACGGCCCCACCAATCCTGCCAGGGGTCACATAGCCCCTCTCTGGGCCCACAGGAAGGGTGGGTGGGGTGCCCTGGAGGGGGCAGGAGGAAGGGCAGGCACGGGGGCTCCTCCTGCCCCCACTCTGGCCTGTGGCACTGCCAGGGAGCAGGCCAGGCCACATGGGACGGGGAGATGGGTGGTGTCCCAGCTGGAGGAGTGGCTCCCGGCTGTCTCTTGGAGACACTTGCCCCCTACCAACCCCCTCACCCCCGTTAATCACTCAGCACGCGATGTGCATGAAACTCGACCTGTGCCACCGATAGCATCGTGGGACCCAGCCTCGCTTCCACCTCTGCAGGCTGCCTGAGCCTGTGAAGGCCCCACTCAGCTGTGCCACCGGGAGGGGGTGTTTATTCCAAGAGGGCAGGCGGGAGCTCTGGATCCACCAGGGGGATTAGCTCCCCAAGGTTGCGGGTATAAAGCTGCCCACGCACCCTGCTCTTCCCTCAGAGGCAGGCGAGGGGCACCAGGCAGGCTCCCCTGGGCAGGCAGGCGGACACGCAGACAGGGACAGGCGGGTGGGCTAGTGGGACAGGCAGGTGGGCTGGTGGGTACCATGTTCTATGACTACTACTTCTCGGCTGCCTGTCAGCGTGAGTACCTGCCTCCCTAGTGCCAAGCCCCAAGGAAAGGGAGTCTGGCAGAAGACAGGATGATGGCAGGACACTGGGGGGATGAGGCCTTCTGGGAGACCACTCCTCTGACCAGGGGCCATCCCAGGGAAGGTGGCCCCAGGCCTTGGTCCTTCCGTGCTGCCCAGATCCCGGGCTGTTTGTCGGCAAAAGAGGTCCAACCCTCGGGCCTGCCCTGCATCCGGCTTCTCAGTTACCCTTTCTAGTCAGGCTTCGGGACTAGCTTCTAGATGCTAAGGCTCCTGCGTCCTTCTGGCCCCCACCCCACCCTGTCACGTGACCCCCCTGATGGGCTGACCAAGGGGGCAGGGAGGACTCTTGGAGAGTCCTGGCCTCCTCATGGAGTCCTGCTTCAGCATGTCATCCCCTCCAGATGGGCTCAGGGCAGGGGTGGGGCAGCTGGGGCAGCATGCCAAGCTGACTGGCAACTCCACCTCCCCCTGACAGAAGGCACCATGCGGGCCAGTGAGACCGTGTCAGAGGCCAGCCCAGGCTCCACGGTCAGCCAGACCGGAGTCCCCACTCAGGTGGTTCAGCAGGTGCAGGGCACCCAGCAGGTAGGACATGCGCCTTCCCCCAGAGTGGGTGGGAAGGCATGTGAGGGGGGCAGCCAGGGCAAGGGTGCCCCCCTTCCCCTCCACCTTCCTGCCAGAGCCATCTGCTCACCTGCTCTTACCAAGATGGTCAGTGCAGCAGTTCTCCCACCCACCTGGGCTGGGCCCCTGAGAGGCTGGCCTGGCCCGCTCCTTATGTCTTGCCCCCACAGCGGCTGCTGGTCCAGACAAGCGTGCAGGCCAAGCCAGGCCACGTTTCACCCCTCCAGCTCACCAACATCCAGGTGCCCCAGCAGGTAAGGCCACCTCACCTGCTCCTGCCCTTACACCCTTCCCCACGTCTGCCCTTTCCAGCATCAAAGACTCAGGGCCCAGCCAGGGGCCGCCCCCCAGCTCTGGCTGGTCACCTCCCTGGGTGAGAGTCAGGACCAGTAGGGAAAAGAGGAACCACATGAGTTATTTTAACAGGGAATCAAATGTTGGTAAGAACTGGTAGTAAGATAGGTGGTTTGCGGGTCCAGCTCCAGCATTTCAAAGCAGAAAACTGAAGGCTGATTTGGGGCCATTGGGGCCAAGAGCCCATAGTCAGTGTGGGGACTGGGAGGGGATGGGGTCTCTCCCCTGGAGGCTATAGGCAAAGTGCCGAGGTTCATGCCTGTGCCCCAAATGTTGAGCACAGAATTGGATTCAGTTCTGCTGGGTTTGAAGTTAGAGCAGATTTCATGTGGCCTCGGAGCAAGGCTCCCTGGACGCAGGCCCGGCTTGGCCACTTATTAGCTCCAGGAGCCCAGGCAAGCGTGTCTCCTCCTTGCACCTCAGTGTCACTCTTTGCAACATGGGGATGATGATGGTGCTACATAGGGGGCTATAGGAGGAAAGTGCTTTGCGGCTGGCCGGCTGCCATTGGTGCCCATCAGTGAACTGTCCTCCTCGGCTCCAGGCCCTCCCCACGCAGCGTCTGGTGGTCCAGAGCCCAGCCCAGGGCAGCAAGGGCGGCCAGGTCTCCCTGACGGTCCACAGCACCCAGCAGGTGCACTCACCCCCTGAGGTAGGTTGCAGTCCTGTGGCCGCCTCCGCCCTTCCTCTCTTCCCAGTTGGCCATGTGTCCGCATAGGTACTTGGGGCTCCCGAACTCAGTTGCTCTCAGAGTCTTCCTGCTCCCCACCCCAAAAATATTGCAGCAGACATCCTCATTCACCCTGGGCAGGAGTAATTTACCCTGCTGGCTCTGAGCAGAGCGGCCCTGGGACTGGGTGGAGATGGGCTTTGCAGCTTCAGTGGCATTGCAGGGAGCAAAGTGGGCTCCCTGTCCTTCCCCAGGGCAGGTGGAGCCTCCTCCAGGCACCCTCAGACCCCAAGGTGGGTTCCGGGGACCCACAAAGACCAATAAGGATGTCAGAGGCAGGTGGGCCATGGTGGCCAGGAGCACAGGTGTTGGCATTGGGAGCTCAGGGTTGGATCCCTACTTGGCCAGTTTTTATTCCTGTGGGACTCTGGGCAGGCCCTTTGACCCTTCCGAGCCCGGAGTTTGCGATACGTAAAAGCAGAGCTGATGATACCAACCACCCTGCCAGGTGGCTGGGCGAACTACAGCCTGGGCACAGCAGGCCTGGAGGCTAAGGCAGGGCTCTGTTGCTCGCTCACCTGGGGCCAGCACCCAGTCCCCCCACATAGCACTGAGTGGCCCTGGGCACCGCCCTTCCCCCTGTGCCTCCCTCCTCATCTGGGAGGAGGGGATATTGTGAGGTTCCTTAGGGCGGGCCTGGTGGGAGTCAGCAGGATACCACATCCGATGCTGCTGTAACCTTTGAGAACCAGCCCCTGGAGAGCCTCGGGCTTGGGCAGCGCCTCCTACCACTCAGAGCTGCCCTCAGGGCCACTTGGGCTTCCCTCTCTTGCTTTCCCTTCCTCATCTCAGGGCTGCAGGGCCCTGGCCTTGAGCACCAGCCCCTGTGACCATGGAGGCAGCAGGTGGCCCGTGAGCTGAGGCTGGAGTCCTGGCTGCCCTTGCTGAACCCTCAGCCTTGCCTGGGGTGACCAGGGCTGAGGCAGGGAGTGGGTATGGGATGCATGCCCATTACCAGCCCCGTGGTTGGGACATGTCCCCGCTGGCTGCTGCCCTCCCCAAACAGTCCCTGGGAACAGTTCTCCTGAGAAGGGTTACATCAGGGCTGGGTGCCCCAAGCAGTCCTGAGCCAACCCAGACTGTGCTATGTCTCCTTCCCTTCAGCGATCGCCGGTGCAGGCCAACAACTCCTCCAGCAAGACAGCCAGCGCCCCTCCAGGCACCGTGCCACAGCAGCTGCAGGTCCATAGCGTCCAGCCAAGTGTCCCCACCACCCAAGAGGTGCCAGGCTAAGGCGGGCAGGGCTGGGGCTGGGGGTCCTGGCCAAATGGCCTCTGTGGGCAGCTCCTCTGGCCTGTTAGAGCTGAGAGACCACGCCCAGCCCAGCTTGCCACTCATGCCTTTGCCTAGCGCCTCCCCCTCTCTAGACTCAAAGTCCTCTAAGTAAAGGCTTCAGCCTGCTGAGGCTGCATGAGGGCGAAACGCAGTCCTCGTGGCAGGCGCTTCACACAGAGCAGGCGCTGGGAACAGCTGTGAGAAACCACCTTGGCCTCTTTGGGCCTCAAAGGGTGGCCTCTCCTCATTTGCCCTAAGGCCAAGTCCCGGCTCACCCGTAAGGGGCGCAGAGTGGGACCTCATCCTCCAAATCTACCCCCCAGCCCACCCATAGCAACCTCTTAGGAGCCCCACTCTGAGGGTAAGAGGCACGGGCTGTCCACCATCTGGCTGTTCTCACTCAAGGTGTGGGTGTTCTGACCCCTTGAAAAACTGATTAAGGCCATAGGCCCCTTTCGCCAGTGGAAAGCAGAAACGCCACCACCCTGGAAGGATTCACAGGCTAGTCAGTCTCCTGCCCCGCACCAAAGCCCCTCTGGAACTCCAGATCTGGGTTTGAGTCCCGACTCCACCACTCCAGCTATGTATGTGGTTCTGGGTGCCCCCCTGCCTCTTTCCCTCTCTATGTGGGCAAATGACATCTTGCATGTGGGCAATGAGATAACCCAGGGCCACGGCCTGCAGGCTCAAGCCCCTCAGTCAGCCCGGGTTCCACCTTAGCTCTGCCACTTCCCTGTCATCCTCTCGTTGCTGAACCTGTTTCCTCACCTGTAACTGGGTGTCCTGGGGTGCTGGGCTTGGCACAGTGTAAGGTTGCTCCCTTCACTCGGGCAGCTGGAGGGCCTGGCTTCTCACAGGGTTGCTGTGAAGATGACGGGAGCTCTGTACCCAGGGGCTCGGCGCATTATCGTGTTTTCAGAGTGTGCTTTGCCTCTCCCTTCTCAGAGGTCTGTGGTCCAGGCCACACCGCAGACGCCCAAAGCAGGGCCCGTGCAGCAGCTGACTGTACAGGGGCTTCAACCCGTCCATGTGGCTCAAGAGGTACGTGTCTCACCCACCTACTTGGGGGAAAAACGGGGGCTAGGAAGGGTGCAGGTCTGAGGGGGCCTTAGGGAGGGGATGGAGCCATCTGCTCCTCAAGGGCTCGGAGCCCCTCTCCCCGTCCACCTTGACCACAGACCCTGCCCTGGACCCTTCCTCGGCCCTGGCACCTGATAGTTCAGGGCCCAGGTTTTGCTCTGAGAAATCTGGATTCCAATCCCACATCTTTCTTGCGTGGCGAGGGGGGGCAGTTCCTTCCCCTCTCTGAACCTGGTTGGGAATCTTTGTTGGGCTGCTGTGTGGGCTCAGCAGCCTGGTGGGCGGCGAGGCCTGGGCCCCGCCCGCCGCGCCCCGGTGACCCCCCAGTGTCTCTGTTTGTCCTCCAGAGCTCAGGCAGTCAGTTTCCCGCTAGGAAGGCAGAGCAGCAGGAGCCCCGGCCCACGCCGCCGCCGGAGCCGCCGCC